TGCAACTTTACAGATCTTCTTTATGCACCAAGAGCTTGTAACACTCCAAAGAGAAAGGAAAAATTGAAATCGCATCATATGACCCCTTTAAACAATCTTACCAACCCCAAACTTTTGAATGGTAATGTGTGTGGCTGATTCAAGTTTCATACTGTCAAAAAATTAATTAATTAATTAATAAAAAAGTGATATAAATAGTATAATCGAAATGTTATTTTTTTTATATTAAATAGTTTACCAAAAAATTTAAGTTGTGCCTTTATCTACATTATTCACTGCAGTTATTTTTCAATTTTTTTTAATGTCCACAAAGCTTTTTATTTACACATCAAAGTCTAAAACAATTGTCTACAAAAAAAATTTAATTAAAATTAAAAAATGAACTATTATGAAAGTAGTCCATACTGAATGACTGATGTGCTATATAGTTTTCTGAAGTTATATGGAACAGACTAAAATTAAAAAATGTATTTTACTGATAATCCACCCATGATCCATCCCTTTCATTCCAATATGTACCTAAATGTGAGATAGATGGGAAATGTTGTGGGGTTTTTTTTTTAAAGATAATGTATACTGCTTTAGAACAACATGACAATGAGTACATACAATTATAAATAAAATAATTTTCATTTTTTTAAGTGAATTATTTGAGTTTTTTTATAGTGAGACCATATCTGACTTATAGCTATAGCTTGTGAAGTCACTTCATGTTCTATGTTCTGAGCTTTAATAAATCACCATTAACCCAACTTCTTCAGCCCAGCGGTTGGGTCATATTTCTGCTCTCACTTAGACGAATGTTCTAGGTCAGACCCTCTGGTCTGGTTGGCATGATGGACGCACACACCCTTCTGCATGTCAATTAACAATGTGACATTTCGCTCCACCATGGGATGTCATTATGGACGCTTGCAGGATGTGGCGTGAATTCTGAGGCCTGGCAGGACTTTAACCATCGCACTCTAAGAACTCACGGATGGCATGAATGCTTCAGCTATAAACGGCGACGTTCCCGCGTCATCATAGGAGGGGCACTAAATTAGATGCAGATGTTCAGCTTTCAGCATCCATCCATTGAGAAGGGTTTCATTACACACCAAATAACGCTCCTCAAACCTCCCCCATTCTCACTGTCTGACGCCGTCAGACAGCATATGCTTTCCCATCAATAAACATTTCACAATTAAGTTGAGTGTTTACATGTGTGTGTGTGTGTGTGTGTGCACTTGTGTACTTACTGCTCAGTTAGATCCATTTTACCATTAGAAACGAGGGTCATTGTCAGTTAACATTGACTTCCATTGTATGGCCAAAAAAAAAGAGAAAGAAATTACTATAGAAGTCAGTTGGAACGCTGTTTGGTTTCTTCAAAATATCTTTTTCTATGTTCCACAGAAGAAAGTTGGTCATACTGGTTTGGAATTGCAAGGGTGAGTAAATTATGACAGAATTTTCATTTTTGGGTGCGCTATCCTAACTCTCAGAGGTACAAAATCTGTCTCTGGGACAGTACCCTTTCAAAAGGTATATCTTTCATTTACCCCTGAAGTGTGCATTTTAGTACCTTAAAGTACACATTTGTACCTGAAGTGTATATATTAGTTCATTAATGCTTCATGTTATTATGATATAATAATAAAAGCTTTTGTACCTTTTGTATCATTGACATGAACCACTTTTTTAGGTCATGCCATAACAAGCTAAACTCAATCTAAAACCATTTTAAACAGCATTTTGCTAATTACTTCATAATGCTTTTTATGAATAATATGTTGACCATATAATATAAAAGTCCATGGACATGTATTAACTACCCACATACAGTATATAGCCTACAGTTATTGCATTTTGCACAAATAGGCCTATTTTGCCTATTCTGCTTTCATGTGTTCAGTGCATTCTCCTATACAGTGCAGTTTCATGTTATTATTATATTATCATTCTGAACTGCAACAACCTTGGGGAAGCACACAAAGTATTGTTGTTTTAAAAATTCGGTGACAACAAGGAGCTTGAATGTAGTTTTGTGAGTAATGAGCTGGAATGTTTTGCTGCCCACAGCTGTATCAGTTCCTCAAGAAATGTTCCTGTTGTTATATTTGGATATGGTCGTGTAATGATCACTGTTGGGCATGAACTGACTTTGAAAGCACACAAGGTGGCAGTGGCATACAGAAATATAGGTACAATTCAGTGTATATTCATAAAGTTTTTATTGTATTATTATTATTATTCATACTTAGGCCTATCTTAGTTCATCACTTTATCTTATTTCTCGTCATGTAATTTTGACTGTTTATTTTAAGAGCCCACTTGGACTGGTGACAGACATTTAGAAGTAGGCTGAGGGTTCACATCAGGGTCTGTAACTGATATGAGCTTATGAATCTCTCAGCAGCACACTAATAACCAGTCCTATGACATTATAAAAGTACTTTACTCCAGAACATCTTTCTATAAATATATTTAAATATACTACATCTATAAAAATCAGCTTTAATAAATTTCAGTTAATAGTTTTCAGCACAGAGGTCTAACATGATTTGACTAAATCACATAGGCTAAGTGTGCGCCTCAGAGGGAAAATCTCTCCTTAGCAGTGTAATATAATTTTTTTTTTTACATCTATGGGCATTGCATTGCTGCGTAGACTGTTGTTTACGTTTATCATTCAGAATAAGATGTTATGTTAATTACTATATGACTTGCACTGTTGAATGTTGATGTGGAATCACTTCGGAAGTGTTGTGAAGGGTTAACACAACTTCATTACATCACCGGCTAAACAACACAATAAGAGCGGCCATCTTTACCCACAGCAGCAACTGCTACTCCAGTAAAGAAAGAAAATAAGTGCCCTGTCGGAGTTGTATTGTATTCTAGACGTGTGGGAACACGTTTCAATTGGAAGCCAAACGAGCGGTAAGATAGTTATACAGTTTCATTGGTGTATCTATAAGATGTAACAGCCGCGCGCTTGAGGGAGTGAAGGACACTCCAGTCATTGTAATATGCTGCACGTGACTCTTTATATATGAAATACCTGCGCGATCATTCAGAATAATGAGTCACGAACTGAACTCTTATCTAACTGAAGGACTGTTATACCGATTTTCCCCCCTGATATTTTCGCTGCTGAAACGGTGTCATGTAACTTTCAGAACTTTTTAGAGTAATTTTAGGGAATATTTAGAAGCACCATTACATTGATAATAGTGGCGTCAGTTCTCGGTTATAGAAAGTTCAGATGACGACATTCGTCATTTATATAAATATAGACATGTAAATATTTTCAAAATATATACTGTATGTGTGTGTATTTTTATATATATATATACACAGAACCCGCATATTTTATACAAACAAAAAGTTTTATTTTGTATGCGATTAATCGCGATTAATCGTTTGACAGCTCTTATATATATATATATATACTTGAATTAAATTTTGACTGCTTGCATGCATATCATACACTGGTTTCCATACACTGGTTTTATTCAAGAATAAAATCAACCTGATGACTGTAGGATACAAAACAAATAATTTGTAAGGACTGTAAATTGAAATAGCTTCTAAAAGCAACAGCGGCACATTTCCACTTTGTACAGCGCAAGCATTCAAAGAGTATTCTAACAAAAAAATAAAAAAAATTTAAAAAGTCATTTAAGATGCATAGAATTAATAAATTGTGTGCTTCGCTCTAACTCAACAGGTGTGAGGTCACCGAGTGCGTTTTGAGTCGAGTATTTGTTACCATAAACAAGTGAAACCGTCTTGAGAGTTCATTAAATTGTTGTTGAGCATAGACACACTCTTGGCATTATGGGTGTGTCTGCAAGGCAGCATTGTTGAGCGTTCACATGCAGCGACCTTTAGCTTTAGCGTGATTTGTGTGGAGGTGTGGTGCCTAAAACACTCCCATTGTTTACTGCCACAGGCCTGACCAATTACTCTCTACTGCTGGTAGAAAATCCTTGATTAGCCCAGTTTTATGCCTAAATATAGTATGGACTATAGGCCACCTTTTCTTGCAATATTGAATACATTAATATTCACTAAATTCAGTTTAATAGGTTGTCATTTTCGACCTACAGTATCATTATTGTACACTTACAGTAATACTGTTATTGTGTTTCTGTCTATTTGCCGTCATTGTAGTCAAGAAGAGCATGACAGCCACCCAGGACTGGATGAACCAGATTGTTATTATTGATATTTATTTAAGCTTGTCATATTAATGGAAATATGTCAGGCAAACTAGACAAACAGAGTTGTGAAAATAGTGAATGTGTGTTATGATTTAAGAATAATATTTGCAAGCAGCTCTTAAATGGCACAGCCACGTGTTTTGTTTATCCATGCCTGTTAGCTTGCATGGCATCAAATGCAAACTTATTTTCGCGGCTTCTCGGCTCACATTTTTGTATTTAATCTATAATGATCAAATATTATTCTCTGAACAACGTAGTCTGTTCTCGCCTAAATATAGCTCATGCTATGGACGTTGACTTGCAAAATAAAGCATTCTTTATTGATGACAGGCTGAATCTTACCCACCGCAGGTGTCAGTTCACCACAGCATATTTCACACACATGTCCTTCGTCAAACAGCGTGTGCTGAAAAGATAAATGGTGAGGACCGTTCTCTGTCTGTGAATCAATTTAAAGGAATTCTTTGACTTTGTGTAAAACAACGGGCAGTGTTTTGATACTACCTTCCATCATCTGGTCAATGTCCACACGTCTACAGTTAAGACAGGATCTTTAGACTACAGCTGGACTTGAAAGCTGTAGGTCCTGGTATTTATAGTGGCTGTAAGCATGATGTGTCCCTGGTGGTCTGGACATTGTTTTCTTAGTCTGCTGCGTCGCCTGTTTGACTTAAAGTTTGCGGCCTCAAGCTTGTTATCGTTACCTGTTATCATCGGGTAAATGTTATTTTGTGCATTAGAACTGTAGTTTGGAAATGTAAAGTTCACAAATAAGAATGAGGTCATTGCTTAAGTAGATATCACTGTTCCGTTAAACTAAACATCTTCCTGGCTTTTTGAGTTCATATTTCAAACAGATGCCTGGTGAAAAGAGAATCAGGACAAATAAGCCCCCCCACCCCACCCCACCCCCACTCACATGACACAATAACATTCCACTGAGATGTCATGTGATGCGACCTCACAGGCTTTGATGCTGATGAACCAGATTCATATCCAAGCTCAGGTGTCCTTAGATCAAAAGCCGTCAATGTAATGAGTAAGTCAGCTCGGCCAAACCAAAATTTAAGCTTCTCAAATGGTCAACGAACTTGCGTGGGATGCGTTCTGATAAGATTGTGCAAAATGACTCGTTGGGTTGTGCCTGTTTTCCTCATATGTCGGTTCTCTCTGAACCATCTCCTTTAATATATTACTGAATGGGAAAGTCTAGTAGTCAGCATGCATTGTTAAATAATATAAATATTGTCTGCCAAATCAAAGTCATTTGGTGCAACTTAATGCAGAAACATGGCGGAGGAAACAGGAAATGCATCATAAAAGTACCCTCAAGATTGAGTGTCAAAGTCAAGAAGTCTCTTAAATTATCAGATGATTTTATTGCATGACAAGGTTCAGGTTGCAAAATGTTATGTGCTGTGACTCCCCAAAAATGAATGATATATGATTTAATATGCATATATATATATATATATTTATATTTAAAGGACTAGCTCACCCACAAATGAAATGAAAATGTACTCACCCTCAGGCCATCCAACATGTAGATGAGTTTGGAGAAATTTTGCGTCACGTCACTTGCTCACCAATGGATCCTCTGAAGTGAATGTGTGCCATTAGATAAAAAATGCAATAATCATAATAATAATCCACATGTAATCCACATGACTACAGTCCATCAATTAATATGGTGTGAAATGAAAAGCTGCAGGTTTGTAGGAAACAAATCCATCATTGAGGCGTTTTTTATTTCAAGCCATTGTTTATGATGTAATGCTAATTTCCCCAGATCTGTTCTAATGAAGAAACAAACTCATCCACATCTTGGATGGCCTGAGGGTGTGTGCATTTTAGGCAGATTTTCATTTTTGGGTGAACTATTCCTTTAAAAATCTTTTTTGAAAATAATGATTTAGATGTACGCTCGCATGTATTCAAGAAAAATAATTTGTTACTTTATGGTTATACCACATTACAGTCATGTAACAGTCATGCTGAAAATTAAAATCTTAATTATGTGAAAAATATGAAAATTAAATTATAAAAAGGGTTTCAAACCCACATGAATAGAGATAGGCACATAGATCTTTAACATTTTTCTCATTATTTATCTTGAAAACTCTATTTTGTCTTTGACACAGCTGTCGTTGTTCCAGTTTGTTTTTGAGTAACTGTAGCACTGATGTCTGGTGTTGATATGTTTGTTTACCCAAAAAGAACACTATGAAACTGCTTATTTCATCACTCTGGTCATTGTTCGAAATGATCAACAAGATTATGTCATTGTTTGCCACATTGTTGCTTGATGAAAATAGTAAGCTACCATGAATCAGACATCCAAACATCTGCTGTTCTGAAAAAGATGCATAAGGTTTGTGCTAATGTAGTTTCACGGAAATCTAATAAAAACGCATTGTAACTGCATGTCTTACTAATTGGGTTGAATCATATTATCAAAAATGGCAAGTAGATTCTGAGAAGTAACTGTATGGTCACGTGGAAACCAGAGAGTCAGCTTTTAAATTGCATTAAATCCTTGATGAGCACCACTTTTAAGTAAATCTGCATCTTTTGGGGATTTGACTTTAAATTCAATCAAATAAACCTCATCAAATGCCGAGTAGTTGACAGCAAGCTATTTTGATTTCTGGTTTATGGGCCAATGGCATGAGGGGAAGTGGGAGGGGCAAAGGCCATGTGTGCTGTGCTCAGGGACAACCTCTTGGGAATTAGCTGGCTTTCTGGGAAAGTTAAAAATGTGGGATAATTTTTGGGAATGGTAAAGGAATTTTCCCTCTTCTCTTTCCTTTTCCTCATTTGAGCGGCTCTCACAGTGTTTTCTTTGTGCTGACTCCTGATGCCTGCATTCTCTGCGCACACATGGAAAAGCGTTGGAGGGGTTTCTTTTTTATTTCTGATGCTTATTCTGGCCGGTCTCACAGCTATATTTAGCAGCACTGCTGACCCCCTCCAGTTTACTGTGGATGAGTCATTCAGTGTTTGTGTGAAGAGAAGTTCTCATTGTGTAGTAATGCGGCCATAATGTGTCCTGCCAAACGCCACTTGGATTGGTGTTTGGACTTTATGGAACAATGTTAACTATTTTAATAAACACAACTGAGAAACACACCTAGGATTTTTTTCCATTCAACATCGCAAACTCCGACTTCAGGCTGGAATACACTACACAATTTTGTCCTGATTTGAATCGACGTTAGTTCCCAAAAGTTAGAAGCAGTGTAAAGATTTTTGGCCGGTCGTAATTGACAGATTTCACAGGAAATTGCGTAGTTTATGATGGACTTGTATTTTTTATCTTCAGACTTTGATTTTATCCAGAGATATTACTATCAGAGAATATTTTGAGCCGGTTTGAGGACACATTGTTTTCATTTGCAACAAGCCGCATGGTTCTGTGGGGCTTTGTTGTGTTCAGAACAACTTGAATATCTAGTGTGACAGCTGTTTAGAGTGTTATGTTTTTCTCTAAAAACATTTACAAAAGTTGTTAAGTTTATGATGCCTAGGGCCAGATTTATCTACAACTTGCACCGGCGCAAACCTTCTTTTGGCATTAAAAAACTTGTGACAGGATTGACTAAAAACATGCAGTGAACAATTAGCAATAAAAAAGCATGGACCTAGTTATTTTTGTGGCTGCATATGCATTTGTTGGAGTTTCCCTTTCAGACGCAAAATTTATGGTAAAATAATATTTAGAGGTGCAGTGTGTAATATTTAGGAGGATCTATTGACAGAAATGCAATATAATATACACATGTTTTCAGAGGTGTATGAAGATCTTACATAATGGACCGTTATGTTTTTATTGCCTTTGAGCAATTTCTATCTATGTACCAAGGTTATTTTCGTAAACTAAAACTAAGACTAAAACGATTGATGAAAAAAAACTATTTCGTAAACTGAAATAAAATAAAAACGTCAAAATAATTGAAAAACTAAAACGAAACTAAACTAACGACAGTTATTGAAAAACTAACTGAAATAAAATAATAATTATCAAAAATAAATAATCGTTTTCGCAATCATTACGTTCTCACCCCTTGGCAGAAAAATATACAAACTGTGTGGAGGTTTAGGGAAATAGCCTACATGTAATGGTGCATCATGACCCATTATCTGACAGCAGCACTAATTTAATTCTGTACCAGACGAGAACCGTTTGACATAAAGACCACAAGTCGTGACCCGAACCGCACTCGCATTAAATCTATTACATCAGGTAAGCAAGATTATTTATTTTATCATGTAACACAAGCAATCAAACCAACATTAGGCATTCTAAGTTGGTGTTTTGAAGAAAAAGACATGATAATTAACAGAAAAAAGATGAGAACGCGCATCCTTTCTGTAAACAACACAAAACTTTTGTCTAGCATCTTGTGATCACTCTGCCAGGCTTTTGAACAAATGTGCTTTGGCTAAGTCACATCATACTTATAATTCTTCATAAATGAAAAGAACATTCTGTTCATAATTTACTGTTAAATGCAATTGCCGTTATTATTGAATTTCATTAGTTCCAGTTTTGATTGATGCACGGCTGTTCACGGAAAAGTGAGCAAGACACCACAGTTACAATATGATTATGATTAAATAAGAAAAGACATATAACCAAATCAGGCTACATTTATTTTCATACTAAATATCTCAACACACATAATTGGATATGACATTAAGCGCGAGTTGTGTAGATTAATTTAGTAAAAAATAGGCTTGCCTGCTTTCTTCGGTGTATATGTGTATACTTTTACTATCTAATCAATCTCAGCATGCGTTTTGTGTCGCTATATGTTTCCCTCACTAATGTTAAATTATGCCTATGTCTTTCTTTGGCCTGCGTTCTGGAAGTGATCTGTTAATTCTGCTAAACTTTCATTAAAACTGAAACTAAAATAAACTATATAAAAACAAAATAAAAATGCATTCACAAAATAAAAACTAAACTAAAACGAACAAAAAAAATGAATTAAACTAATAAAAACTCAACTGAATTTTATAGCAAATTTGAAAACGATATTAAAATAAAACAAATTCTAAAATTCTAAACTATAATAACCTTGTGGGTCCCCTTGCATAGAAGTTGCTGTTTTCCATCGCCATGTTTCTACAGTAGCCCTAAACAGACACACTGCTCTACAGAGTGCATTTCGTCACTGTTGTTCTTGCGAATAAAATACTGAAAAAATGATGAACAAGTAACAACAATATTCACAGTAACATATTGGTTTACTGAATAATAATAAAGTATAATTCCTTAATTTACCCATGTAGAAGAAACTTCTTTGTCCTGTGTCAGCCTCCGTAGCTTCTCGATGTGCAATTTGCAACCTTACCACTAGATGTAAATTTACAAACTGCACCTTTAAATAAATTCTGCAATGTGATTAACTCGTTTTGCAGTCGTCAATTTACTGGTATTTGCATAATTATTTAGGACCCAATTTTGGATGGATTCATGAATAGTAGGTCAGTGCACTTAAATCAAAACGCGATATAAACTTGCCACTTCATGAGCATTTTACCATTTCTTTCGAGTAAAACAATCATCAAATCTCATGTAAAGTCATACAAGGTGTTCACAGCAACCCATCAAATAAAAGAATTGGTTTAACTTGAAGAAACTGTGACAGAAATATTACTTAATGTAATGATAGTAGTACTATTACTACTAATAAAAGTATTATTAAAACATTACTTTTAAATGAATATTTACCAGAAAAATATATTTACCAGAATTTATTTAGCAGAAAAGTGTAAATACACAGAACAGTATTTAAAAATAAATAATAATAAATTACTTTTTATATAAAATCAATTCATTGGAGATGCTTTTGATTATTAATATTTAATGAAACCATTAAAATGCAATCCAGAAAATTCATGGAAAACTAAATTTTGTAAAACTAAAACTGAATTTGAGAAAGAAAAATGTATTTCATAGGGACAAAAAATTTAATTTTTGGTAAAAAAATAAATTGCTGTTTAATATTGTAAGACATGTTTTTTGATGAATAAAATTTATTTAACCATTAAAACAGAGTCTAATAAAATTAAAAACTGAAAAAATGGAATTTGGGAAAAAATTTAATGGATTTCATAGGGCCCTAATTATTTAAATCACATCAACCCATTTTGTACTTGACGTGGTTGTGAAAGTTGCTAATTTGTGCTGTTCTTGATAGATTGCATTGGTCATTATGGAAATTAGTTGCATCTGTGTTCTTTAATTTTGCTTTGTTGTTGTGTCTATTACGACGTGTGATTTATATTAGTTAAAGTTCAGCCACAATCTCCCTCCGTATGGAGAGAGAAGTTGTTTACTCGGAGTTCTCAGTCATGCACATCTTTGCTTCCTATTCTAGGTGGAGTGAAAATGCATCCCAGCGCAAAGAATCCAGTGAACCGACCATTGAGTTTACTGGCAGACAGCGGTACAGGGATGTCCCAATTTGGCCCGAATTTCCACTTCAAAATCATACATGTAATTCTGTTTGAGGTTTTGAAATTGTGCTGGTCTAAGATGAATTGTCATAGTGTCACTAAGGGGCTTACCGCTGATCCTTAGCGAGAAAACAGCCGAAAGTCTTTAAACTCAGATGAATAAGATTGAGAGCATGGAATCTGAGTAGGCAAGAAACCCAGCCAAGGCTTAGTCAAGTCATCGGAGCTTGTGTGTCTGGAAGAGTTAAGACATTCATCAACCTGTTGTTTTTCATTTGCACAAGATAGCAAGATCACAGTGTTCACTGAGTCACTTAATCTGCTTTCTCTGCTTTCCATTGAAAGTGGTTGTGAACTCACCAAGAATGAAGTCCTTAAGTCCACATATTTAGGATATTTTCTTTATGCATTCATCAAATAAATTAAAAATAATAGCTGTGGAAGCTAAAACTGCTGTATATTTCTGCAAAGGGGGTCAATCACCATTTTTGAAAGAAATGAATCCTTTTTGTTCAGCAAGGATGCATTAGATTGATCAAAACCGACAGTAAATATGTTAATAAAATTACAATTGTTACAGAAGATTTCTATTTCAAATAAATCGTCTCTTTTGAACTTTCTATTCATCAAAGAATACTGAAAAAATGTATAACAGTTCCCACAAACTATTATGCAGTAAAACTCTTTTCAACATTGATAATAATAATAATAATAATAAATGTTTCTTGAGCAGCAAATCATCATATTAGAATGATTTCTGAGGGATCATGTGACACTGAAGACTGGAGTAATGCTAAAAAGTAATCACAGAATTTCAGATGCGCCGTAGAGAGCAGCAGCTGAATGTTTGTCTTGTGCTTTAATGAATATTAATGTCCTTGTTTGCGGAGGTTGTGTTTGAGGCTTGAGTGCAGACTCTCATAAGCTTGTTTTCCATATCTCTTGATGGCCTCTTCTGTGGAGTGGCACACATCCATAAATATCTGTCATCCTATTGTTTAGCTATTAATCAGCACACAAGCAGATTAGCGTTTCCACAGCAACTGCATTGATTAGATGCAAACCACCATTCCCTTTCCTTGCCCTCTTCTTCACATGCTGCTTTGCAGCCGGATGAGGTACAGACAGCGTTTCTGCTTTCACCTATAGAAAACCGCTAATAGGAAGATTTATGTCGCTTCTACCTACTGTTGTTCTGTTTCATCTAATGACAGAATATTCCTTTTCTGTTTCACAGGAACCATGACCTAGTGATCTTTATAAGGAGCGCTGTGTCACAAAGCATCCTTCTCTTTTGACAGGTAAATCATCTGCAAGGACCGATTAGAATTAAAGGTATTGTTTTTATATCTCAGCAAGTTGTAGACCTTTTTAATAACATAAACTGGTTTTCTTTGGTCTGTTGTCCACCATAGTGTATTTTATTTAAATGGAAGTAGAATTACAAATGATTTTAATGTAGCCCATTGTAGATTTCATTCAAAAAGTATTTAATAATTTGAACGGGCAGCTAGGATTAAAACTACAGTTGTGAAATTTAAATTGGGATGGACTTTTATGATTGTTATTGCATGATTGTTGCATGAGGCTTTGTATTATACTGACACACTTTTTTTTTAATTCATCTATTCATTTGTTTAATTTTATGTTTATATTTAAAATTCAAATTATTTTTTTTGTTTGTTTATTTACGTATATTTTTAGTATGCATGTGTGTGTTACATTAATGAGGAAAAAAAATTAACTTAAATGATTTTAGCAAATGGCTGCAATATAACAAAGAGTGAAAAATTTAAGGGGGTCTGAATACTTTCCGTACCCACTGTATAATGCTTACATTGGCAAAATAATAGACATACATGTGTGTATACAGTCAAACCAAAATTTATTCAGACACCAACACTTCTCACATTATCAGTTTATTCGCTATAGTTTAGAAAATAGTAATAAAGTATGACAAGTTAAACTGTGGCAGAACAAATTCATCTTAATGTCAGATAACTTTGATGGAAAGGTATGTAATGAATTAGGTTGAGTAGCTGTCAGCTGTAACTTAAATTCAAGTACACAATTAGATAATACCAATTTAGGTAAACAAATTACCAAGCAATGCTTAATTTTGTTCAGTCTGTGGTGCAAAAAGGTCGCATTAGCAATTAAAGAAAAAAAAACACTTAAGCAAAACATGGTCATGTCAAAGTGTCTGAATAATTTTTGGTCCCAGAAATTATCAATTTTACTGGTAGTCCACTGTGTATGAAGAATTTTTGGGTATAATATGTCACCGTTTACTTTATTTTGCTATCCTCACTTAAATGAACTAAAGTGTCCTGCACCCACTAGTAAAAATTATATCTGGTGTCAGAATAATTTTTGGTTTATGTATATGTAAAACTATGTAGGATAGAAACAAGATAACAAGGATGAATGGTAGGCAAAAAAGTAATCATAACTATGCCAAATGTTAATTTACCATGGTTATCTTTTGTACGCTGCACCACTCAAGTGCTCCACATCACGTTAGCATTGTAAAAATAACATCACAAGAGTGTTTTATTTATGGCGGCTGTTATAGAAACTAGCCTTTTCTAGATAACCATACAGTGGGCGGAGGATGTTTTGAACACTTGTGCCAAGTCAACGCCAACCCGTGATCACTCATTGGCTGTCGTGAGACTCGTGGCTTCAGAACAAAAGCATGTACCCGTAGGGATGCGCCTGTGCTTGTTCTCAGCATTGCTGAACTGAAGTCTCCAGAGAGAAGAGCACCATCATGAGAAGGTGGTGGGTGTTTTCTGGCACATCAGCGAAGCAAGAGTCTTCTCTCACAACAAAACAAACCCTCTTTCATACGTTTACTTTTTTTTTTCTTTTCTTTTTTCCAGTCCATCACATTGCACATAGGCAAATCTCCATCCTTCCACTGAGACTAAAAACTCTATGTGAAGCAATCCAGACAGACTCAGTCAGGGTAGAATAAGCAGATGCTGTGGTTTTGCCAAACTCCACTTTGTCTTCAGCTTGGCATGGATGGATAGAACAGCCAAGTGCAGGATTAGTCTTTGACAGGAGCATTTGCATAGCTGGATACCTATAGCTCCACACCCCAGCAGTCTGTCTGTCTGCTCTTATGCTGCCTCTTTAGTTCTCATCCTTCTGGAAAGAGAACAGACATCATGCAAAATGCATATCAAATTCATTTGATAGCATTCCAAAGAGAAGCATCTTTGTCTTCGTCCTTTCAATAGAAGAGTCTAAGAATTAAAATGTAATATTCCGAAATACAATGTTGAGATATATTTGATAAACTAACCAAAAGGTTCAAACTTCTGTATTTCTTCTTGTATATTTGTAATCCTTCAATATGTTTTTTTGTTTCATTGCATTAAAAATTTCAAACTAAATGGCATATGGAACCAAATAATGAGCTTTATTACAAATTCGCTTCACATTTTCAGAAACATTCTTAATTATTGATTGAACTTTATATGGACAGAAGTCTGCCTTTGTTGCATATTTGTGTGTAATATACCACATACATCATATACAAATATACAACACGGACATCATTTTTTTTGTTTGTTTGTGTATTTAAGTGTTGTTTCAGAGTCCAAATAATTTTTGGAGCCACTGAATTGTGAAAATTTACATCCAAGTGTTTGCTAGTTATTATTTTATAATATTGTATTGTTGAAATGCTAGAAATAATGTAATTAAGAAATATCAGTTCAGCATCCCAGTAATAGAACCACAGCCAATTAAGTTTCTTTAAAGCAATTTTTTTAAATACAATGTTTTATTTTTTTTTCTTAGTTTTAATAGACTTTGAAATTGTAAACACAAGGCATGTCAAAATACATTTTAGTTATGGGTATTTAGCCTAACTAGGGTAAGTGACTAATATGCATCACTAGTCTGCATCACTTTTAGCATAGCCATACAGGTATCCCTGATATGTTGATCGTAAATTTGCAGTGTGACATTGAATTTTACATGTCTTGTACTTTATGGAGCCCTGTGGTCATTTAAAATATTTGCTTTATAAATCTCCATGTCTGAACCATGAAATATGGCTACATATATTTTCAAGCCCAGTACATTGCAAAATTAGATCGAACAGATATTACAGACAGAGTTGTCCTAAGTGGCCTTTCTGTGTACCAAGATGTAAAGCATCTGTCAGAATAACATATTAAACAGCTGGGCCAGACGTGCTGCCTGGATATACTCCCGTATAACTTGTCTTGGATTGGAGCCACAACAAGACTTATACAACTTGCGCTTTTAAACATCAGCCATAAGGATTTAAGAGTTTTCTTTATAGGTTAACTGGGAGGACCATCAAACTTACTTGATTAAATGCATGGGAGTGGATAGTTCAAGGTTGGGAGATTGGCTGGTCAGATTTCAATCAAGCTATTAAAAGAAGAGCTTATTTTTAAGTTTACCATCACCAGTTTACAACAAAATGTATCTTGGATCTCAGCAATGTGATACAAATGGGTACATTAACCTTTTAGCCACATTTCTGGCTCATTTAACGTTTATTTGCAATCAACCACATACTAGTAAATGAGTTTTCCCACCACACCCCAACAACAACAACTTTAAGCTCCAGTAGGGCTTTCTAATGTTTACAAGGGCTGCAAAACACTTGAAAGCCTTTTGTTTTTTCTTTTTGTTTTTCTGGCAGAGTGTAGTCCGAGATTCCCGCCAGTCGTCTGTACCACTGTGGTAGTGTCCTGGGACAGATCCTTGCCTCTCCCCCTGAGGAGACATGGAGCCCCAGGAGAGTCTGGGAGTGGAGGGTGACTCGGGTGCACTGGGGGTGCTGGTGCCGAGCCCACGGAGCGAAGCGGTGACCCATGACCTGGAGGAATTGTCTCTGCAGCCCACTCAGAGCCTTCTACCCATTAAAGAGCGCAAGAATGGTGAGTGAGCCCATTTGGTCAGGCCCGTAAGCCTTAACTCTACTCCCAAGCTCCTATTTCCTCCTCATCTGTTAAACTACCGCCCCGATTTGACACTGAGAAAATAAGGCCTGCCAGAAGGTTGAGAAATTTATTTGCGGTAAGACATGGGGAATTACACAGGAATTGCATGTGAATGCCAACATGTAATCATGTCTTAAGTGCTCCCTTTAACTCTTTTCCAAAGTGTTCTTGGTTCATTTTAGGGTGCACGACTCGTAAGCTAATGTGATCGATTTTGCGTCAAATATGATTGCCTAAAGCCTCGGATATTGAGGATTCTTAGGCTTGCAGTCATGTTGTGGTTTTCGTTTGGCTGTAACTCAAAGGAACAGTTCATCATTCAGAAATAATAATTATTTTATTCATTATACCAGAGCTCTATGACTTTCTTTCCTTTTGTGGAACACAAAAGGTGGATTTTTGTTGGATATCTTAAAGTAATGAAAATAAATAAAAAAATACCGTAACGTGACATTCTGGACAATATCGATAAGCTGATAATTAATTTAATGCTATGGCTGGTAACAGATAAATGGCAGATGTTTGAATTCTTTACTATTTTGTCTAGTGATGACCCATAATTTCACCAATCAAATATTCATCAAAAATAAATAAATTCAGTTTTGTAAGGCTGAAAAACTGATAATTAACACTTCTTAGATGACGCGTTTGAATGTGTCAGTGTTTATTTCATGCACATGAAGTGGATAAACTATAACAACATCAAGAGTCCGCTTATTGTTGAAGAATTTTACTATGACCGGTTTAATTTATTGCCTGAAAACATGATACTCTGAACAGCGTAAATGGTAAACAGTTACTCACTTTATAAAACCATTTTTTATAAAAAATAAATCATTGAAAACTAAAATCAGTAATTTTAATTATGTATTTCCGATAATGACATACAATTATTAATTAGAAAAATCTTTATTATCATTTAACCAGTATGATGCCGATATATAAGTGAATGAGGACAGGGTCTCTCGGGCTCAAAATATGTCAAATAAAAAGCGCTCTATGCAACATCCTCCTAGTGCCTTCATGAGAGAAATAGCAATGTTTGATTTATAAACGAATTGTTCTTTTGAGTCTTTTTGTTCTTTTCTGTGAATCCATTTATCATTTCACTGAACCAAACGATTTGTTTCAATCAAGTCCCCATTCATTATTTTATAGAAAACAGCAGCCAGGCATTCTTTTTTTTTTGTGCTCCAAGGAAGAAAGTCAGTCAAAAAGGGTTTGTATTGACATGAGGGTGAGTAGGTTTTTTTTTTGTTTGTTTTTTTTCCTTTTCGAGTGAACTGATAATTATCATTTGGCCATTTTAAAAATAATGTTGAATTCTTTGAGTCACCCCGACGTTATCGTCTTTTTCTTCTGTCTGGCTTTCACAATCCTGTCCAAAGTTTAATTATGGAAATGTTTTAGTGGTATATGGACCCTAATAAGACGACACTAAAGGGATGGTCCTGTGGGCGGAATGGCAGTGAACCTTTCCGAACTACATCTATCCGAGCGCAAGAAATGTTCATGTTTCACTCCCTATGGACATCATTGCCCTTGAAAATGTCAGTGTGTCCTCGGGCTGCTGGATAATTTAGTGCAGAAGGGAAGTAAACAGAGACCCCACCAGGCATGTGTGTATTTCTGACCCCACTACATGACTAACTTCATCTCATTCTGTGTCAATCAGCCGTTTCTCAGGGTGTTGCATTGAAATAGATATGAAACTGTGACTCATTTAGACACTTAAGTATTTAACACGACCTCAGAATTACCCTGTTTATTTGCTGACTTTTTGCAAATGTCTAGAGTTATTTTAATCAAGTGCTGCTTGTACTATATGCTAGAACATTTGCTGCTTGCAAGATATTTTGCAATATTTTGCCAAAATGCAAACAACATTACAAATTCCATTAGTGTTTCAGTTTTCTTAGTTGTGCATAAAAGGATGCCAAGGATCTCTTGGTTATTAGTGCAGGGGACTTTTAATAATCTATTTCTTTTTAAATGATTAGATCGGGGGTTGGCTGCCACAGACCACCAAATATGATGATATTTTCCTAAAATACAACGGTACAGTAGCTGTGTATATACAGCTGTAGTTGAGTGTGTGTGTGTGTGTGTGTGTGTGTGTATATATATATATATATATATATATATATATATAATATACATACACTTGGAAAATAGTTTAGTTGTATTTGTTTTCTGTCATCTGAGTATTTTTATATCTATAAACTTGAGGAGAAATTTAAAGTATAGCTGCCAATTGTGTTTAATCTCATGATTTGTGACCATCTTTAAACAGCAGAAAGAAACTGTCAAATGCAATTGTATTTTTTTTCCCTTGTTTATTGTATTTTATTATATTCATTTATTGTGTGTCCAGGATTTTTGGTTATGGATATGGCCAAGGTGTTTTACTTTGATGCATTACTAGACAGAAATGTGTTCAAGGCAAAGATGTAAACAAATCTTTGAAGAGGGGATGGGTGGCATTGAAAACCCAAACCATTGGACCACAGTTATGAATTTTGGGGGGCACCACCCTCAGTGTCATGTGGTTACAGCCCTTGTACAAGGTGTATTTCATGAGAACATAATGTGCAACAGACCACCTCATAACATTCAGCATAAGATAATAAACTTGAAAGAGACTTGCAATAAATCCTAATACAAGGCATAATTTCTGCTTTTTATCAGCTTCGAGATACTAAGTTATGAGTTTGAGTAAATGCCATTTATCAGAATAACTGCACCATTAAATACCTTTAAAGGAACACTCTTTTCTTGTATTTTCTCGTAATTGAGTCCTGCTCGCTGCTGCCTAAAGATATTGTGAACTCATAGAGGGTTTGTTGCACTGGCCTGAATCAACATGATCTGTTCCTGCTCCAGCTGGAGGACAGACTGTACCCATCCTTCCTCTTTTCAACCCACCCGTCTAGTTGTAGTGAAACTTAACGTCACCACTCCTCACAAATTCCCCTACTGAAACATTTATGACTATGTTCCCACAAGTTATCTGGAGACGTACACGTTATATTATATTGACATACGAGTCTTAGTATTGTCTCATTACAGCTTAGTGGAAATGGATTGTTTTCACTCTAATCTTTGGTTGGATCTGTTTGTCCAGTGAGTTCACATGAGACTCCATTGGATGGGTTATTGCTAAAATATAGTTTTATGGGTGGACACAATGTGTCACAATATCATCCAATGACAAACAAATTTAAATTTAGTTATAGTTTATATATATACACACACACACACACACACACACATACAAACCTGATTCCAAAAAAGTTGGGACACTGTACAAATTGTGAATAAAAACAGAATGCAATGATGGAATATAATTTATATTATATTTTATTTTTTGAGTGTCCCCTTAAGGGTTCTATTTTTCAGATAGCATGCCAAGTTAATAATCCTCCTGTAATTAAAAAGCCGTTTAGTAAAGCGATGCTATTCTGATGCTTTTGATTGGTTCTCTTGTTTGAATTTACTGAGCAGCACATCTACCAATTACATGTTAACCATGCCAGCTTTAAATGTTTGAAAATGATTAACAGTTCAGAAAAACATAATTATTCAAATGTAATCAGTTAATTACTTTAATAAAGTAATTGAAAAAGTTACACTACTTATTACATTTTGAATAGGGTAACTTGTAATCTGTAACCATTACATTTCCAAAGTAACCTTCCAACATTGTTTAGGACCAATTAATTGTTCGCACAGACCGCTCACATTGCTAATACGAGATTTGAAAAGGGAGGGAAAAAAAACTCGGCGAGATCGAACCCGGGTCGATCGCGTCAAAAAGTCGGTGACACGCGCTTATCCATCTGCGCCACTGGAGCTGATGATTTACAGCCACTTTTAACTAAATGTAAATATACACTCCGTATTTTTTATTCCAGAGTAAGGGCAATTCATACAATACATTTAAACTGAGCTACTTTAATACCATCTCCGAACTTTCTACCACGACTCTGCTGTTCTTCGGCTGGTTCTTCCAGGATACGTTGATTGACAGATGTCTCGTCCAGTCAGCGGTGAGTAATCCCAAGCCAATGGCACTGTCTCAAACTATACCTACCTTTTCCGGTTTGTCTGAATTGTTGTTGTGTTTTCTGACTTGTTAATTTGTTTTTGGATTTGTCGTTGTGTTTTCTGAATTGTTGTTGTGTTTTTTAGACTTGCATTTGCGTTTGTAATTTGTTCTTTTGTTTTCAGAATTGTGATTTGTTCTGCACTTCTCGGCCACCGTACTAAATATGTAGTTTTGCACATCCCAAATAGACTAAACCATACAGCACCTCAGTGGACCTGGGACTATGTTCCCTATTCCCTTCCCTCGGGATGTTCCTGTTCCATTGTGTTTAATCCCTTTAGCTAATTCAGATAGGCTTTGTTTAAATATTTTCTTTCCCTCTCTGCAATATTAATCTCCAGCGACTATGAAAGAAACATCCCTGGATGTAGATAAGAAATTTAATGGCATTTTTGCTTGAATCCCCATGAGACACATAGTGCTTTATTAGAAAAGCGGATTGTTGAAATACAAATGAGAAGAGTGAAATGCTGACTCTCATCTGTAAACCCTGAATATGAATAGTTTATGTCCACACTAAGTGACAGAGACAAACAGAGATATCCCTGGGGTGCTGCTTGGTTGTTTTTGTAATTTTTGTTCCATGACAACATGTTTGCAAGAGGGAAAAAAAGGTACAAAATTTATTTACTCCTTGCTAAAGCTGAAGTAGCATATAAAAGAAGTATGGGAAGTTGTGGTTGTACGTGTAAATTTTGCATTGGCTTCCTCTTTATTGTCTAAGTTTAAGTTAGCTTTTGGACTATTGTTTTTAACCAGTGTTCAGTGCTGTTGAGGGTTAACAGCTGCAGCTCTGTAGTCCCGCCTCTCCTGTCAGTCAGTGTTGGAGCCAGGGCTGAAGTGCTGCAGAGAGCGCTGACTCTCGCGGAGAACTACACACCCACAAACACTCACGCAAGCAGTCTAGAGACCGAACTGGTGAAGGAACTTGTCGGAACGGTCTGGAATCGGAACAATACGCTGGGGATTTTCCTGCCAGATCCTTTGCCTCGGCCCGCATTTCCCACAGCAATCCATGGGACTCCAGACACGGCAGCTCTCCGATCCGTCTCTCCGCTCCATGGCCTGCCTTGAAGTGGAGACCTTGAGTGTCTGCAGGGGTAAATGCAGATAGTTTGAAATCTTTTTAAAATTCCATGTCAGCATGAATTAAAATGGGGATGTTGATGCTAAACATGAGTGAAGGACAACGAATGAGGCATCTGGTAATTATTACTGGAGCGCATGTTGAGAAGATCTGATAGAAATGTTGTTGTATCAAATAAGATGTGTGATCAAATGTCATGAAAAAGTGACTAAAGGTTTGGTTATGGTGAGGGTACAGGGTTTTATTTCAGCGGTCTGATGTTGGTTTCATTATATATACAGTATATTTTTGTATTAATATCTAGGTTTTCTTTCAAACTCACACCCAAACATTATCTCACCATTAAGTTAATCATTTAGCTGGCTAACCATGCCTGTTCAGGAAGTTTAACTGCTTTTAATGCCTTAAGGGAGTAACACCTCTTCACAGGTTTCTTAACAATCAGACTTTCAAGTGCATGACGATATCTCTACAGCCTTCACTGTTATTAATGTATGGTTTCACTTGTGAGAGTTTCAAGTGAGTTATTAGTCGTTGGGATGGTTCCCATCAGTGAACCGTAAACCAAATGGTATATTCATTTATCATACAGTCTCTACAGTCCTCTGGAGCTCTGCAAGCACCCATGAAGATACAGCTGAAATATTTGTTGTAACAGTAATGTCAACACAGTCCAGGTCAACGTCAGAGTGTTTCTTAAACTGCTTCAGTTTAGTCAACATTAACAGGCTTGGTAGCCATAACACAGCCCATTCATTTAATTTACGATAGCGTCTGGTTGCGTTAAAGGGGTCATATGATGCTGCTAAAAAGAACATTATTTGGTGTAATGAAATGTTTATGCGGTTTATGGTTCAAAAAACACATTATTTTCCACAATGTACATTATTGTTTCTCCTCTATGCCCCACCTTTCTGAAACGTGTCGATTTTTACAAAGCTCATCGGTCTGAAAAGCGAGGTGTGCTCTGATTGGCCAGCTATCCAGTGCGTTGTGATTGGCCGAATACCTCAAGCGTGTGACGGAAATGTTACATCCCTTACCATATTGAGATACCTGCGGCAACCACATGTGACGACCCCAGGCTGGACTCCGCTTCATCCACGGTGAAAGCCGATCCGGCGATCCACAGCGTGAAGTTGAAGTATTTCCTCAGCGACCAGCATGGATCAGCTCCAGGCATGACGAAGCCGATATCGTCCTCTTTTGGAAGGCCAAACAAAGTAGTTTCGCTTTCACAACGAAGCACACAGTGCCTTCTCGACATGGCGGCGGCGGCAACAACACTTTCTTTGCGTGAAGATGTGGGAAGAGTTGCATAACGCTGCCCAAATAGTGACGTAGGTATGTGGGGGCGTGTTAGAACGAGCCGTTTTAGGTAGGTGTGGCTGACTCTTAACTTTTATAAAGAATATCTCTTTGGATTTGAGACTTTAGTCTTTGCAACTTTACAGATCTTCTTTATGCACCAAGAGCTTGTAACACTCAAAAGAGAAAGAAAAAATTGAAATCGCATCATATGACCCCTTTAAGGTGAGGTCATATTAGCGAAATTTCTAGGTAAAAAAAGATCCATTGTTTGTCAATGAAGCTCACACAGAAGTCACTTTTAAACCAAGCGGCTTTCTGTTAGTCAATGTGACAAATTTGACTAACTTGAAACATGTTCCTATTGAAATGACTTGGATTCCTGTTGAAATAACTTGATTTCACCCCCCAAAAAAGCAAAGCGATGATAAATGACAACTTTAGGCTTGGTTTTGGATTTAAACTGACTCTTGAGAGGGTTTTGGAGAAGTGAGACATACGAGGATCTAAGCTGCCTTTTGTTTATTGTATAGTTCAAGAGAGAGGCCTGGAGCCAGATAAAGGTCAGTCAGGGTTCAGCAGAGAACATCAGGAATGACATCAGCTCAACAAACACTGGGATGACTGCAGGCATGTCATGTACCGGCGTACTGACGTGAAGATGATTATGGTATTACTCTTCCATCAAGCTTCATTGGGCTTCAATGTTCTGAAAAAGCTGCTTGGTGGTGGCACGGATCTTGATTTGTAATGGATAACCGCTTTAATATTGAAACCCACCAGAGAACCTCCTGGCGCAGATAATAATGGAAAACAAGATTTGAGACAGAGTGTTCCAAGCTGTAGGGGGGTTTAGTAGAGGCACTCGGTCCCCTCCTTCAGTCTGTCTACTCTTTATTCAGCTGTGATACAGAATGTATGCGTTCAACGTACCCCCCAACCCCCAATGCCATTTCAAAACTCTTCTGTTTCCCAGGCCTTGTTCTCACAACGGCTGGGTTTATTTTAGCAGGGGTGAGTCAGACAGAGTGGTCGCTCTCCCGGGACTTCGGCAGAACTGGGTGTGCTAGGCCTCATTCTGCAGCCAATCAGATCAGCTCTGTGCTCCCCAGTGCCGATGATGGGTGGAAGCGGGGGTCTGCTGGGGATGTTCCACGCTCCGCTGTCCCATTTGTCACGATCAAATGCCATCCATCCTCCTCTTTAAATGTTTTGCAGAGGAGTGGTGTTATTCTCTTGAACCAACATGCCTGTGTTTTGAAATGTATAAACCGAGCCGTCTTGTTAGGATGGTGAAATAGCATTCACGGTGTATGTAGTAGGCTGTGCATAACGGCCCGCATTTCACCTTTTCGCTTGTCTTTTTGATGTTCTTGGTTGTTAATGCACCAGTGCCTCCTCATCCAAAGCGTAACAGCTTGCATCTCGCTTTTTATGGACAGCAAATCCAAAGCCAAGAGTTCAGATGACATCACCTCAAGAAGTTGATAGGACCATTGCAGTGTTTATTATTTTGTGCTTTGGACGCTGTCCTGTTGTTGATCTCTTTTATAAACAGCATTCTGTTGTATGTTTGCTTTTGAGGTCAAAACTGTTGAGATTTTTTTTTTAAGCTTAATACTTTTAATACATTTCATTTCAAGTAAAAATCTTGGGTTGACCTTCATCCCCGAAACATTTTGGATGAAAGATTAAATGTTGTGGATTATTTGTGAAGTGTTAAGTTCTAAAATGATTTATTACCAGAAACACCAAAACCAAGCAATCCTACCACTATTAACTATTCGCTATTCAAATTATGCATACCTATTCAAGTTTTATATTCCACATTTACTACAAGGGTATTGGCCTTTCTTTCTTTATTCATTCATTCTTTTATTATTATTATTATTATTATTAATATTGTAGTACCCCAGTGTATATGGTGCTATAAACCTGTCAATCATTTTAGTATCATTGAGATACTATTATAGTATTTATTATTATTATGAATTAGTTTTTATTTGTATGTTTGCTTTAATTTTTTTGTATAATTTTGTTGTTTTTGTCGTATTCATAATTGTAAAAAAAAAAATCTGTATAGTTTCTTAGTAATTTTTAATTGTGGTTCAGTTTGAGTTATTCAAGTACATCAAGTTAAACTAAATGAAAATGAGAAATCTTGTCAACAAGCTGAAATTAAATAATTCCTAGTTTGTTTTATTTCAGTTTTAGTTTTAGTTAAAGGGATAGTTCACCCAAAAATGAAAATGGCCATTAATTACTCACCCTCATATCGTTCCAAACCCAAAGACCTTTGTTCATCTTCTGGACACAAATTAAGATATTTTTTATTAAATCCGAGAGCTTTCTGTCCCTCCCATAGACAGCAAGGGAACTACCACATTCAAGACCAAGAAAGGTAGTAAGGACATCATTAAAATAGTCCATGTGACATCAGTGGTTCAACCGTAACTTTATGAAGCTACGAGAATACTTATTGTGCACAAAGAAAACAAAAATAACAACTTTATTCAATGATTTATTCTCTTCTGTGTCAGCCGACGCACATTCCCGAGAGTACCATGACGCATCGTGTGTGGTGCTGATGACATTAGAGCTGGCTTTCTGACGTAGAACCCGGATGCACTGTGTCTTGTTTACAAGCAGAGGAATGCACAGGGTTACGTTGTTGTACTTTCATGAATGTGCGTCAAAGACTGACTCGGAAGAGAAGATATTCTCTTCATAAAATTACAACTGAACCACTTGCGTCACATGGGCTATTTTAATGATGTCCTTTACCTTTATGGTCCTTCATTGTGGTAGTTTCGCTGCTGTCTATACTTGGATTTCTTCTAAAATACCTTGATTTGGGTTCTGAAGATGAACAAAGGTCTTACTGGTTTGGAACGACATGAGGGTGAGTAATTAATAACAGAATTTAAATTTTTGGGTGAACTATCCCTTTAAAAGTAGAAACTCATCAAAGTTACATTTTTCTGTTTTTGCTTCCTCCACAGTGCTTCAGTTAAGACTACTGCAGAGGCGCACACGCGAGCAGCTCGCAGACCAGGGCATCATGCCACGTGAGTATGCATGCTTCATGGAAACATAACGCTCAAATGTCAACTATTAATGTTTAGACAAATTCAGCCTGCATGCAGTGGACTTTCATGAAAAAATCCGTTGCGCCCGAAAAATGTTAATCAGATGATCTACTTCCTTGTTATTTTAACTCTTAATGCAGCATCATTAACAGTGCCACTCACATTATCACCTAAGCTCTGCACACACACTGTACTTATTCTTCATTAAGTGGAACACATTTACCTCCAGATTTATCTACCTTTATCTACACTTTTGACAGCAGGGGGATGGAGTAAGTTATGCATGTTGGTAAGGAGAGCAGTTCTAATAAAAGAAAGCGTCTGTTGAGGATACAAACTGATAAGGAAGGAGAGCTAGAACAATGGTGTGACTGATGTCTGTCTGGAACAGCGGGAGCTGTCCTGCTCTCTCTGTGCTTGCCGTCTGTATAGGGCCCCTAACGTCATAGTATCCAAGCTCCAAGAGTAACAAGAGTGAGTCAGCGACTGGGCCTGCACTTTTGCTCAGCAAGATCTGTGGTTACCTCCCAGGCTTTAGTCAATGCTTAATGGCTCGGATTCTCCCACAAAGACCAGTTCTTGCATTCTTTAATCATATTAATGTCAGTACAGCAGACTATTTAAGAGTCCACTCTTGGTTAGTGATATACGACTAATCAGGGTGAGCAACTAATGTCTTTGCTAATCAAGCCATAGCGACTGTGACATAGCACTCATTTCCTGTTGACCATGAATGTAGATGACCGTTCAACACCCACTGAAATACTCGTAGCAGAAATTTCTTGAAATGTTGTTTGAAAAAAATATTTTTGTCTTCCAGTAAACAATATTTCAAAAATATTCTAAAATGGTTAAAACATGATTTATGCAAAGGAAAATTGCATAAAATAATTCGACTTGTTTTCAGAGAGTATATCTTGAATTAATTTGATTTTTCTTTACACATTGGCAGATTGACTTTTGTTTTATGCATATATCTAACAAAATATCTTTAAATAGCAAAATATTAAACATTTAAAAAAAATCTTTGTGCCATGAAAACATGATGTTTTATATAACAAGACATTAAATAATGTCATTTGACTTCTTGTTTTGAAATGAAGGCTTTGAATATATTTTTCTTTCCAGCCCTGAAGACACCTGCAGCTTTTCACGGGCAGGTCAGAAGTCTGGAGAGAGCAAGAGTAAGACTCAAACGCTCAAATATTCCTACACTTTGCATTATTTATTAGTGAACTGGACTTTACACAGGTTTAGTAATATAATGTTATAGAAAAATCACAACAGTTCCATTATGCGTGTTGTTTATCATCATTTAATTTGCTAAAGTCATGAGTCTGAGTAAAGAAATTCAACAGATTTGTTTACATCATTATTTCATACTGAGTTAATTACATAATATATTACACTTTATGTTGGCCATCAGCCACCCGGTTTTCTAGAAATCAACATTTGACAGCTACTAGAGTGCTATGAGAACAATAACAGATGCATTTCATGGAAATTCTTAATTCAGTTACTCGTATTGCATTTTCATTATACAGACTGAGAATTTCCTGAAGCATAAAATCCACAGCAGACCTGACCGCTCTGAACTTGTTCGTATGCACATTTTACAAGGTACGCACCTTATCAAACAGATGTGATTTTTTTTAGCTCTTAAGAGCATTGTCAAAGTCTTTTGTTTCACTTCCTGGATACTTAATTTATCACACAGCTTTAGTTCAGTATGGTCTGATGTTGTTTATGTATTTCAGAAACCCACGCAGAGCCTTCTTTGCAAGCCACTCAGATGAAACTAAAGAGGGCGCGTCTAGCAGATGACCTCAATGAGAAGCTTGCACAGAGGCCTGGACCAATGGAACTGGTGGAGAAGAAAATTCTGCCTGTTGACATTGGTACAAAAAAACAATGAAATACTGTATTATTTTCATGCTTAATCAAATTAACTGGAATTGCCAAAGTAAATGTCAGTTACTAAATAGTTTTGTTTTGTGTGGGGTTTTTTCTTCTTTTGTTTTGGTTTTCTTTGTTTTGTGTTTATTGCCTTTGTTTTGGTTTGGTTTTCTTTTCTTTGTTTTGTGTTTATTGCCTTTGTTTTGTGGTTTGGTTTTCTTTGTTTTGTTTTTTGTGTTTATTGCTTTTGTTTTGGTTTGGTTTTCTTTGTTTTTTGTGTTTATTGCTTTTGTTTTGGTTTGGTTTTCTTTGTTTTTTGTGTTTATTGCTTTTGTTTTGGTTTGGTTTTCTTTGTTTTTTTGTGTTTATTGCTTTTGTTTTGGTTTGGTTTTCTTTGTTTTTTGTGTTTATTGCTTTTGTTTTGTGTTTTTTTTTATTTTGTTTTGTTTTTGTTTGACACTGCAGTTGGAGAACAGGATGTTTATAACTTCAATGAGGACAGCAGTGAAGCTCTGTCTCCAGAGCAGCCAGCTAGTCATGAGTCTCAAGGCTCTGTATCTTCTCCTGTAGAAGCCAGACTGCCTGAACCATCCTCTGTTTCACCTCCAACTGGCTCCAAACTCCAGGTCAGCATCTTAACAGTCCCTAGATTCACATCCAGACTGATTACCAGTTCAGAAATATTCACTTCTAATATTTACAGTTAGCTTATGATGCATAGGTCTGATAGAGAATGCTTTCATTAAAGTGTATGAAGCTCTCCAGAAGAGCTAAGTAGTGTCTGTTTTCTCTACAAGTTATCCAGACATCAGCCTTGTGTTGCTGGTTAGATTTATATGTCTCTGTCCCTTCTTATGGACATATGGCTTTTAATCTCTTTTTATCAACTGTGTCCACCTACAACCCAGAGTTCAGACTTCCTGAACAGAACATCAGTAGAAGATGGCCGAGTAATGACTTCCACTCAGACAGTCACTGCTGCTGCTCCCACAAAGCCTGGACCCACCCTTGTGAAGGTAAACCATATGTCCTAACCACCATGATGTAATTTCCTGCCTATGTTTATTTTTGAGATAAGGGTCAGTGACTCACAGCATTACTGGCTAATTTCACAATAGCAACTCCAGCTAAATAATGATATATACACCACACTGACTGTGAAACTGAAAGAGTAAGAGGTAATAAATTGATAATGCTGTAATCATAGTCAGACATTAACTGAAAATATGAGTCATAGATTGATTAAAATACTGATACTAAAGAGTTTTTATAGAATTTTATATGCACTAGCATTCAAAAGTTTGGGGTCGGGAAGATTTTTAACATGTTTTTGAAAGAAGTCTCTTATGCTCAACAAGACTGCATGTATTTGATCCAAAATACAGTAAAAAAAATAGTAATATTGTGAAATATTATTACAGTTTTAAATAACTTGTTTCTGTTTGAATGTATTTTTAATGTAATTTATGCCCGTGATGCTAAACTGAATTATCAGCATCGTTACTCCAAGAAATCATTCTAATATGGTGCTTTGCTGCTTAAGAAACATTTATTGCCATTATCAGTATTGAAAACTATTGTGCTGCTTAATATTTTTGTGGAAACTGTGAAAAGAACAGCATATATTATAAACATCTTTACTGTTACTTTTGATCAATTTAATGCATCCCTGCTGAATAAAAGTATTAATATCTTTGAAAAAAAAAAAAATCATACTGACCCTAAACATTTGAACAGTAGTTTAAATCTTTAAAAATAAAAGATTGGTAACACAGCGTAAAGACTGGAGAGCAGAAGAGCTGTTTTTTGTCATTCTAAAAAGCTTGTTTACTACAACTTGTCAAAGCTACCTTAGGCCAAATCAGTTTCAGAAGAGCAGCAGATGAAGAGCTAGAAGTGCTAGCAGCCGTCTTCTGTCTTCAGTTAGAGGTTAAATTAAACATTCACACATAATGCGGAGAAGAACAAACTGAAGCTGGGGACAATGAAACAGGAGTCAGGCAATAACTTGTGCATTTATCATAATCCATGCCTTCAAAGCATACTCCACAGATTTATTCCATGACAGAGGGTCACTGCTGACCCAGTGGCGCTTCGGGAACCTGCTCATACATAAGCCGGCTTGAAATGGTGTGTTATTACATCCTGATGACTTTCAGCTCCCTTCCTCAGATGCCAAACCATTTTCATGTGTATCCTGTGACTCAATATTTAGGAACAATGAGGGTCATGTCCCCTCCATGCATCCTGTTTCCTCTTCCTGTGATTTTTGGTAGATGTTCATACAAGTCCCACCTAGTCACAGCAGTTGCAAACTTGTGATTTTGCCCACAAATCTCTCAGCTTCTGGTATTCTCAGAGTGCTGACATCTCTGTTAGCAAGAGAACTGAGCTAGTTGAAACATTATGGGAATCACCTAAAAATCACAAAGCAAATAGACTTGTGTTGCAAGTCTGACTAGCACTAACACTGACTGTGGGATTTCACCTTTTGTTCAGTTCTTCTGTCCTTTTTTCCATGCAGCAAAGCCAGCCCAAACAGTCCAGTGACAAGAGCCGAAGCAAGAAGAGTAAAGAACCCAAACCGCGAATTAAGAAGCTCAAGTATCACCAGTACATCCCACCCGACCAGAAGCAGGAACCCAATGAAGCCCCGATGGACTCGGCATATGCCAGGCTGCTTCAGCAACAGCAGCAGTTCCTGCAGCTCCAGATTCTCAATCATCAGCAACAGCATTACAATTACCAGGCCATATTACCAGCACCACTCAAGTATGTCACACTTCCAATATAGTTTCCAACATAACATGCAACCCTTAGCATAAACATCTTGTCACTAAAACCTTAATATGAAAAGCATTTTTCACAACCAATTTGTTTAATAATTCACATATTATATAATAGAACGATTCAACATGAGTATACTATGTTAATTATTCTTTCAATGTCATAACATGTTGTTTGAATCTGGAAATAGGAACACATTTAATTTCTGAGTATTTGGTAAACTCTGTCAGTGATGTAATTTTACATGAATGAAAAACACATTTCTGAAGAAAAAAAAAATGCTTTGCTGCAAGAAAAGTGGACAGCTCAAGCTATCCAAATCACAAGACAATTTTATTTAATGTTAGATGTGTGTGCTGTTTAATGTTTGTTTTCCTCCAATACATAACTTGCATTTTACAGTTGCATTGTGTAGTTGTAAGTGTTACAAATTGAGTATTTGCATTTTGCAAAAAGACTTGCATGCACATTGACCAGACTGATAATATAGTTGGCTAAAATATTAATTTTGACAAAATATTTTGTTTTTGGACATAATTCAGCTTTAAATTGAGTTTAATTAGAACATTCTGAATTGAAATCATACATTTAACACATAATACAATTGTTATGAGAGACATGATAAGTCTATTATATTCATAGAATAGTAATATGTTCAGAACATTATACCTCTTGTATTATTATTAGTAGTAGTAAGTGATTTAATCTGTCTGTCTGTCTTTAGTATAGTTTTTGTGTGCATTAATGTATAGCATAGCCTACAATTATACTTTTATATTTGTTTTGTATAGCCTTCAATTTGCACATTATTTTGGAGGAGAATATTGAGCAGGGGATGGAACACTGTATATTTTTCCAGTATATACAATAATTACATTTGCCCTTTTTATATGTACATTGTTCAGATTGTCCATAAAAAGTGGTGCATCAACTTGCTAAAGTAGCACTGTAGTTTGGCAGTTCACTTTATAGAGTTCAATGCCTTGGGGAACACGGCACTTTGTGCATATGGCATAAAAGCATAATGCTAGTTCACTTGCGTGATGTCAGTTAATTTGAATAATTGGTTACGGACCAGTGCAATTGCATATGATTCGGATATATCAGTTTCAGCTCTGACACTAAAAGGATTTACTGTGAGCCTGATTGCTTTGGAGCAGAAGTATGTAGCTCAGAAAAGAATGTGAGCGTTGTGTGCTATGAGCGATAGCCTTTAAATAATGGTTTCACCTACTAATCATGTCTAAAAGACCTGTCATCACCCCAGCTGTAGTACGGCAGTTCCTCAAATTATTTTCCATTTTGGCTTCTGTTGCTGCAAGATATACCTCTGCTTCTATTGTGTAGAAAGACCGTTTATTGTGAATGATGAGGGAACAGGAAGTTCCCATTGCATTTAAAATCCTTCATCCTCTACAGGCCAGTAGCTGAGAGTCAGAACAGCTGCCCCAACATCACATTGAGCACCAGCCCGAGTCTTCCCGCTCCCATTGTGGTATCTCTGCCCAATGCGGCTCCTTCACGTGCCAACAACACTTTGACCGGTCGTAAAACCGGGTCTCTGCCTACCAACCTAGATGAGATGAAGGTGGGTAACATGCTGATTTTTTTCCTACTCCTACAATATAGAAGGATGCAGAAGTACCACTGTTCTTTGAACCTCTAGGTGGCTGAGCTTAAGATGGAGTTGAAATTGCGAGGACTTCCTGTATCCGGCACCAAAACAGATCTCATAGAAAGGCTTAAGGCCCACCAGGAGAGCTCTCAATCTGCTACAACCATGGATACAAACATCTCCAAAGCTTCTCTGCAGCCTGACAGCATGAACACAACTCCACCCGTTTCTCCTGAGGCCTCCAACATCAGTATGAAGAACAGCAGAGACAGTCCCACCAAAGCTCTATTTACATTGTCTCCAGCCCGTCCACCAACAGGCACCTCACCCCTCAAACCCGCACCTGAAGACATGACCATGGACATCAAGGTGTCCGAAAAAGACCAGCGGCTTCACGAGAAGGAGCGCCAGATTGAGGAACTCATGCTTAAGCTGGAGCAGGAGCAGCGGCTGGTGGAGGAGCTGAAGATGCAGCTGGAGGTGGAGAAGAGGAGTCAGCAGGGCGGAGGGCCTGAACCCAATCTATCAGTCCAGGTCAAAGAGGAGAACGGATCCTCCCCGAGCTGCAACTCCAAGCAGAGTCCCCTGCGGCAAACTACAGGTGTGAAACAGGAAGAGCCACATGCCCAGCAGCACCACACCCCAGTCCAGCAGTTCTATATCAACACACAGCAAGTCCCTCAAGTGCTGCATCAGCAGACACTGACCAACACTCAGCCTGCCGCACAAATCCTGCTGCCCATCAGCCTGCCCAACAATCCCATCAGCACACAGGTCTCTTAACATTCATGAAATGCCAGTTCTATTTACAGTAAGGAAAATGTATAAAATAACATCATCTCATTTGGAGTTTTTCTCTATACTTTTTGCAGGCGCAGACCGTTCTCCAACAAACAATGCCCAGTTTGGCTCAAAGCATCATACAAACACCACTTCTGCAAACACAGACGTCCAACAACACAATGTTACAACAGCATTCAAATCAGACGGCATCTCCACCTCAAGTAAGCAAAATGATTTACATCAAGCAAATGATCGGACGGGTGAAAAATATACCTTGTAGACATTAAAGAGGGGTCCTGATCCATGTCTAGAGTCACGGTTATCACCATTATCATGGCTGCTTTTCCACCGTTGGGTTGAACCATTCTCAGTGGTTAACTGTTCCTTTTGTAACACAAATGCAGAACACCCTACCACAGTGGCCTCAAACTCAATTCCTGGAGGGCCACAGCTCTGCAGGGTTTAGCTCCAACCAGCTCCAACTCACACCTGTTTGGAAGTGTCTAGTAATCCTGAAGACATTGATTAGCTGGGTCAGGTGTGTTTGATTAAACTGTGCAGAGCTGTGGCCCTCCAGGAATTGAGTTTGAGAACACTGCCCTACCAACTGCATGGCAGCACACTATCGAACACTCAAAACACTTTAGCAGTCCTATAGAAACGTTTTTGCAACCACCCGGAACACCCTAATAACTGACACCCTAACAAAGACCATGCCACACCAAGCCGACAGTCGGTCATCAGCCAATGTCCAGCTGTCATTGAGCAGCTGTTCAGGCAACTGAGCATTTTGAGTTTGCAGCATAGTCTATTAGTGAGAGACCATTACTATTTTAGCCCCGATTTTCACTCGCCGACAGTTTAGTGGAAATCGCTGGCAAATGCCCAAAATCAGAGGCAAATTGGTGCTCGTTCATGAGAGCGACAATCACGTAGTGTGCGTTATCAAAGATACGATCTGAGAGAAGCGTTAATGCATCACAGATGCCCGTGAGATATTTACCATGCCAAATATCTGGTCGGCAAAATGTGTTTTGACTGGAAATGACATTGGCAATGACCTACAGCCAATGAGAAAGCAGAATACAGGGCAACGGAAAGGAAAGTTCAGGGGGAGATCTGCAAGACAACATGAGGAAGCAACCATTCTCTCCTTAATATACTTCTTTATTTTGTATTTTCACTGCATATCAGTGTACAGATGACTTGGTTTGCAGGCTTTTTGCGGGCTACCATTTTTGACAGGAATAAATCCATGCTTGTGCGAGAATGCTTGTCTCTCACGTGAACTTGCGTTATTTCCTGTATCAATTCTCGCATGTTTGCCTTGTCTACAAAATACAGAGTCCTGGCATGAAACTCTAGATGGCACAGTCCGATAGGTCTAACTCAATCTGACCTAATGACATCATTATCACATGGCACAGCTGATTGGTTCTCTCCTGTATCGGTAGCCAATGAGCTCGTTGCTCAACATTCAAATATATGACTAGTGCTTGCTGTAACAGTTGCAGCTTGCTTCAGAAACCCTCCACCTTCCCCAGCTCCACCTGTATAGATATGCTACATACATGAGGTGATTCATGTATGCTATATGGGGGTTATTTCATGTATGTTATATCTGCAGCAGCAATATTTCTTACATGCTCACAGCAGCATGTTGTGGATGTTTTGGCAGTAGCAAGTCTCGGTACTTGCTCTGCAGCAGCAGCAGCGTAGCAGATCTATTCCGCCAAGACCAAATACATT